CATCTTGACCATTGGCTGCCAGTAATGCTGGAGCGTATGTGAACGAACGCTCTCTCTCGATCGCCTCTGGTCCCGCAAGATTGAGGAGTATGTAGGCTTTGGTTTTTTCTGGCTTATCGCTGTGAGCTGCGGCGATGAATATGTCGAATTCCAATTCGAATTTTCGCCAGTTTTCAGCTATATTGCCGTCGAATATCAGCGGGTCTGGTCGGCGAAATCCCTCGCCCATTATTTTTTCTTTACTTCTGACACCATGTAGTTTGTTGATATGAAAAATGGTGAATTTTTTTTCCCTCTCCGCTGTCGCCACTGCCTCGCATGGTTCAGGATTGGTAGAGCTACGCATCGATGAATTTTCTCTTCAGTGTTTGAACTCTCAGTAATGATTAAATCACACTGAACTGAGCTAAACTGAACTGAACTGAACTTAAACACTAAAACCTGAACCACACTGTTCCAGTTACTATGACCATTTATGTGAAGCTGCTTTGACACAATCTACATTGTAGAGTGCTATACAAATAAAGTGCTATACAAATAAAGCTGAATTGAATTGATTTGAATTGAATATGAACATAGCAGTAATCTACACTGGGTAAGTGAAAACAACTGGGGCCTCATGAACGAAGACTTGCGTGGAAATCATACTAAAACATTGCGTACGCACAAAGCTGTAAATGTGCGTACGCAGAAAAAAAATCAGATGTATGAAACACTGCGTACGCCGAATCTCACGCATATTCTTTTGTACATCCGAATGAACGTGAAACTGAGCGCAACATGCACGAGCACAAAACCCCTCCCTGCCTCCTCCCCCGTATGAATATGCTAATGACTCTACTTATGGCAAAACCCAACAAAAAAGCAAAGGCAAAAGCAAGCAAGAAGAGAAACTTTAAAACAGAATGTGAATTGGAGGTGCTGCTTTCGGAGGTAGACCGGAGAAAAGTGGTGTTATTTGCAAGTTTGTTCTCCAGAATTAACAACAAAAGAAAAAAATAGACAGTTTAGCTGATGTGGTTAACACAGTTGGGTCTGAACATTGCACTGAGTGAATTAAAAAGAAATAGTGTGATTTATAGGTGTAAAATGTTGCAGTACTCACAACAGTCTCAGTGGCGCAGCTCGTAAGTCGCATGTCTACATGCTTTGACATGTTCGAGTATGAATTCGGTTCGAATCCAGCGTCTAATGTACTCTTTTTTTTCTTTATTCCCCCGCTACATATCAGATTTTGCCTACTATTTATAACGAGAAAGACAAGTAGGAATCATTAATAAGTTTGTGCATCATATTTTATTTGCACATTTATTGAATGGAAATGTTTCTGATTCACGCATGCAAATTCATCTTCAGATGGTGCCTTTATAGCAATGTGCGTGCAGTAGATAGCTCAGATTACATTGGGAAAACAGGCGACCGCTGCAAATTGCGCTTTAATGTTTAGCTGGTCATCTGTATGGTATGGAAACCTTATATACCTGCTAGATGAACCCGTCTCATACAGCTGCCATTGCAAGGCTCAGACACTTTGTAGAGAGGAATTTAACACAACTGCCTCTAGGAGTCGCCAATGGAAATAAAACAGACACACACAAAAAATGTGCGTACGCCATAAAGCTGCCGTGAAGCTGCGCACATTCCCACGTTCAGTTCATTGTTAGTAAATCCAAACGTGAGCGATTCTGAGCGTGAAACCTGGCGTACGCAAAGTTTTTGTGCGTACGCAGCGTTGATACATGAGGCCCCTGGACCTGCTGTTTTAGACATGGTCATTATAGTTTTTTTATTTAAAAGTTTATTTACAGTATAAACATTCTATTTCCAAATGTTAACATTATGATCATTTGATTCACTTCAGTATTCAATTTCAGTTTCAAACAAATATTTCTATAGATGTAAATCTAAAAAAGCTTTTAACACAGTAGTTCTTAATTTCAGTCCTCGAGCTCCAGAGCTTTGTATATTTTTATGTCTCTTATTTGGCACACCTGATTCAGAAAATTAACTTGTTAGAAGAGCGCCGTGCATAAACTGTGTTCTGATTGACATGGTCCCCACACAGTGTGCATTACTCCCAACTCCCTTCTGCTTTATTGCTCTCTTCCTGAGCGTGGGAAACTTTTACTTCACTTACAAACTATCATTCACAGATTTGTGCAATGCCACAGCTTGAAGCAGCTTTATACACAGATGATATTTAGTAGAGATGTGTGGATCTGACGTAATATACCCCTGTAAATAATACAGTTAAATTAACATATCGCACACATACACACACACACACACACGCACTATAACAGCCATATAAATTAAACACATATGCTCCTTTCGAAGTGTAATCATGGTGTAATATCCCATTGAGTCATGCATTTCTAGTTTACACTGCAATTTTTTTTCTTAGATGTTTTGTCCTGTTTCTAGTCCAAATATCTAACAAGTCTTAAATCAGTCTAGCATTTTCTAGACAAGCACAAAACTGTCTTGTTTTAAGAAATAATATGACAAAAAGTTTTTAGATTTTCCTTAAAAAGAGCAAAATAATCTGCCAATGGGGTAAGAAAAATAATGTAGTTTAAGTTTTTCCTTTGGACATAAGATAATTCTGCTTATTTTATGGAAAAACTCAATTTTGACATTATTTCTAAAAACCTTACAATCTAAGAAAATGTGAGTGAGAAAAGCATTTATTGCAGTGTAACTGTTATTAAGACACAAAGGTAATGTTTTCTGTTGCAGAAGAATAACAATGAAAAAATACTTCAATAATGTTTAAATAAGCAGAATTTATAAATTCCAAATAAAGTCCTAACTTTTTATTTTATTTTCTATGAAGTCTTTGGTGTTTACTGTTTTCATCACACGCTTGCTCCTCTGGGATCTTCAGTGGTTTTGCCCTGTTATATTGATGAAGCTTTACCAGTGGAGGATCTGGAGGTGGAATAGAGAAGAGCAGACTCAGAGACTCTGATTCATCTGTATCAAGATGGTGAGAGTCGAGCAGAGGTCCAGCAGCAGGATTATCATGATAGAGCTCATTTCTTTACTGAGGAGATTCAACATGGAAACTTCTCCCTCCGTCTGGACAATCTGACAGCTCAAGATGAAGGAGAATACACATGTACAGTTTACAGAAATCAGACACTAGTGTTTTCAGTCAAGAGAAATTTGGTATTGAGATTACTAGGTAAGTCAATAAGGGGAAAAAATCTACTACTATCCACTTTTTTTCTGCATGTGACTAGCTTGTGTAAAATTATTACATTACTGTTTATGTTTCATTATATGTTCCACATCTGGTTTTGAAAATTTCCATTGAAATACATAGTTTTAAGTAAGAATGTGTTACAAATAGTATTTGTAGTGAAAACTAGCTGTTGTAAGATGTGTTCCAGAAGAAGCCAGCAGTGGGTGCTCAACATGGAGTCTGTGTGGATCATTAGTGCCCCAGTATAGTGAGCACTGTCCTATGGATGAGACAGTAAACCAAGATCCTGACTTTCTGTAGTCATTAAACATCCCAGGATGTCCTTTACAAAGAGTAGGGGTGTGTCCCAGGCATTCTGGCCAAACATGTCCACTGTCCATCATGGTCTCCTTATAATCCCTGTATCTACTTATTGGTTCTTCACACTGTCTCCTCTCCCCCAATAAGCTAGTATGTGGTTTGTGGTTCTAGCACAGAATAGCTGCTGTCATGTCATCCAGGTGGAGCTGCACACTAATGTTGGTTAAGGAGTTAAGTGCTAAGAAAATCATTATATATCAAGCATTACTTATTATATTTCAAATAAACATTCAAACAGATTCAATTTTAAACTTGCATGTTCGGGCTCATTGTCTTGTCAAAAAACTTATTTCAGGGGCATTTCCTCTGCTGCACAAAGAGACATTATGTCTTCTAGTATTCTGATGTTTTCAAACTAAATCAAGATACCTGGTCAACAATATAGGGCTATCAGTGTGAGAAACATCCCTATTCCATCATTTCTGCTCTACTTTCACACTTTACAATATTTACAGTGAAGTCTTGAATTTGGGACCTAGTGGTCATTTGATATGTAATACTGTTATAATACTGTTTAGTTGCAAATTCAAAACCATTATATTTTTTTCAACAATGGTGCAATAATGGGAACTTCTTACTGACAGCATAGCTTGTGATTGTAACTGAAGTTTTAGGCAATTTTATGTCATTTTTGATCTGTCTGAAGGTGATTATTGACTGGATCATTGTTATTCTAACTATTTTTCAATCCATTTTAACTGTTGCTCGTTTTTAACATTTTGATGCAACTTTAAGATATTTGAGATTTGTAAGAGTACACCCCTTTTGATGCTTTAACAATTACTTGCTTTCTATATTAATACTATATGCATTACAACCAACCATTTGCGTCGCACAAACATTTATTCATTCATTTTCTTGTCGGCACACACACACTCATACAATATGGACAATTTAGCCAACCCAATTCACCTGTACCGCATGTCTTTGGACTGTGGGGCACCCTGAGAAAACCCACACAAACGCAGGGAGAACTCCTCACAGAAACGACATCTGAGCCGAGGTTCGAACCAGCACAAATATCACTACTGGTAATAACAGTATTCAGGAAGGACATGTAGATACAACACAGGCAGTTTGTTAAAACAACTGTCTTTCCTTGAGATCAAGACTAAATACACATGGATTTATTTTTCAGTCTGATATTTATTCTGCTTCTATTCAAAAGAAGACAAATAGAATGGAAGAGACGTTCTTAATGACTGTAATATATAAAATAAAATTCAGTTTTTATAGTTATGGGTTTTTTATATTTTGCTTTTTTTGTTTTTGTTTTTTTGTTTTTTTACTTTGTACATATATTTAAAGTATTTGTTTGAAAAAAAAATGTGAATCTAATAAGGGAATCAAAGACACACATAAAGTGGGACCATCATTCATTACAACCTTATTTGACCTAACAAAAGTTGTTGTTTTTTCCGCCTCTTTATAGATCCTGTCTTTCAACTTCAGATGATTCTCGTTTTCTGTCCAAATATTCTGATGTTTGTTGCTTTTGTCCTGTGGGGAGTTTCTGAAGGTAAGAGTTTCAATACTAATGGTTTATTATATTTATTATAAAAAATATTTTAATAGTTTACTTATTTTTGAATGTTATTAATATCTGCTTTGGTTGCAGGCTCTCTGTTTGAGTCAGTCTCTTGTTGTGCTCTTTATTTTCTGAGACCTCTCATGTTGCTCTGGGTCGCTCCATATGTCACTGAATTCACAGGTATGAAGCATTTCATTATTTATAGATTAACATTATTTATTCATGTAAAAAGTTATAAATATTATAAATCAATTAGATTTTTACATAAATTATAAAAAGTGTTCTTTATTTTATTACTATTCATGTTTCATTGTTACACAGTATCCTAACTACATGCAATGCTATGACACAATAAAAGCTATATTTCGATGTTGATGTGCATTTTTGTCTTAACCAGCCATAATGGCGACATTTGTATTTTAAAAACAGTTTCTATTTTTGCGATCTCATGGCTAAACAACAGCATAAACTACTATGATAATAATCACCACAGGTGCTGATTATGTGCTTTATAATGTTTTAAATGATTCCAGTATGACTTTGAATACCATTTTGAATGACATTTGCATCCATACTCAAAGCAGCAGTAGATAGTTTTCATCACATCTTAAAAATAAAGTAAATAAAGCAAATAAAGGTAATGCAGCATGACTTTAAAAACTGTGAACTCAATGCTATCCTGCAAAATCAGTCTCTTTGGAAGCTATGTATTTTAAATGTTGTTCATGAGTTTGATATGTATTATTTACATTAAAAAATCTTTCCTTGTCATTGGGAGTGCAGTCCACTATTATGCGCTTCTGAATTTCTGTAGGTACTTAAAAATTTCTGTCGCACAGTATCTGGTGCAGACAGCCAAATTGCTTGTCACTGGAATCTGGTCACATTGCGTGTTAGGACATTAATGCTGTGTTGCTCTTGTGTATTTTTATTATTTGATCTATTTGTTCTCTTTTGCAGGAAACATTAAAACGTTTATGGAATTGTTTAGTTTTAAAGCAGAATATGTGGTTTTCTCAGCTGTGTTTTATTCAGGTAAATATATCCAAATGTCATTCAACTGTTGTTTTATTATTATAATTCATATATATATATACACTGTATATATCAGCAAAAATTAAATATAAGTGATGTAATATTCTGAACAATCTGCAGAGAATGTAAAACAAATCATAAAGCTAATAGTGGGAAGTTTTAGTGTCTGCGTGTGTGCTGAATGTTTATGAGACATATTTTATCATTGCTCTTGTTAACAACACATGCTGTAAAGTATGTGAAATGTTGTCCCAAATATTCAGTTCTTTTTTTATTGGTGTATATACAAGACCACAATATTTAGAGAATTAATAACGTAATTGCTTGTGGAAACTACTAGACAGACAGGACCAACAAAAGACTAATGCTGCATCCCAATTCGCATACATATACTATGCCCTAAAAGTTTGTACTTTTTTGTGAAAGAAAAATATATATTTTTGAGTGTGTCACAGAAGAGTATGCATACCTGTCAATATTGGAATGTCAAAATAAGGGATATGCCCACCATAATAAGCCCCCTCCCCCCCTTCTTTAAAAAAATCCCCAAATTATTAAATATGTAAATAATTTTTCATTAGCTGTTTCATTGTAAATAAACAGTTAAATGGTCAGTAATATGTTTTAATATTAATATTTACTAAAGAAAAATATATACATTAGCAGCAAATACATTAGCAAACAACTGTCAATCATCCACATATCATCCACATTTCTTTCATATTTAATTTCCCTACCTTATTAGAAAAGCAGCAGCAGGTTAATCTTCCATTCACGAGTCTTTCATGCGGAAAAATATCCTAAAGTCTTTGGATAATTATGCATTCGGATGTTAATGTCCAAACACGTCTTTAAATAAGTTCAGTTTTGTTGTTGCAGATGAAATATAACACAAAAAACGAGATTCAAATATTTTCCAGTGGGCTAGATATTAATTAACAGTCATACAAACATCTTTATCGAAGCCTCTCTACTTGACGGTTGGTCTTGCGCATCTGCCATGTTTGTAGTTTGATACTGCACTAAAACTGTACTCAAGGAAGAGTAAAAGTACACATTTTTAAAACTACTTAGTAAATTACAATTCCTGAGAAAAACTACTCAATTACAGTAATTTGAGTATTTGTAATTAGTTACTTTACACCACTGGTCGGATGTAATCTGATGAGGTTTCTTTAAAGTCCCCAAGAAATCAAAACTAACAATATTGATTTTGTTAGCTCACATTGCTAGTTTTGTGGTGAACAATTAATCTGTGTATGTCTCTAAGGGGAAAAAAGTGTTTGCCCATCTAATCTTTATTTGAAATCTGAAAATGCATTTTATGTTTGTTTTCATTTAAATCAGATTATGTATATTTTAGGAATTGGACGTTAGTTACACGAGTTTCACTAATGATCAGAATCAAATATAACAGCCTACATTTAAAGTCCTGTAATATTGTAAATACACTGTCTCCTATGTAAGTTGAGAAGAGTTTTGACATGTATACCTTTTCTGTCTTCCAGTACTGTTTAAATCTGTCTTCGACAAAGGTCTGAGTTATGCAGGATTTGAAAGTGTCGTGATTATAGTCCTCTTTGTGACTGTGCTTCTGTTCAACCTCATCTTCTTTATTTTCTGTAAGTATTTCAACGTAATCCTGTCAGTCAGTTTCACACTGTGCTTTTCTCTTTGTGAACATCTGCTTCTAAAGATATAACTAAACATCTAAAGATATAAGGATCATTGGTAATAAACTGTATAGTTAATACAAGTATAGTTAACTTGAAAAAATGCAAGGAATTTATCGAGAAAACAAAAGTGTGCATGTTCAACCCACATATCATACTCATATTTGATTGTCTCAAACAAAAGTCCCAACATTTTTAATAACATGATAAAATATAATGTGTGAGAGAGCGAGTCAGAGGAAGACAAATAATATATGTAAGGTATTATGTGTGTTTGTGTATGTGTGAGAGCGTTGTTCATCTTCACCACATTAATACTGAACCAGATGACTTGTAATATTATCAGCACCCATTTATTACCTCGGAGAAACAGCAAAATACCCCAATTACAAAAGAAACCAGTTTAAATTAATTATTGATGTCAGTAAAATTTCATATTTTCTTTAATTTAGGTTAAAATGTGTATGTATTGACTAAGGAACAAGTATCAGGATTTTATATAGTTGAAATGATGTGGCTAAACAATATGATAAATATCGACTATTTACGGTATTTCACAATGACACACACACACACACACACACACACACACACACATATACACACACACACACACACATTGTAAACCGAGCTTCTGCACATTCACTTGTTGTGAGTAATTACATTTTCCAAAATGTAGATAAAATTAGTGTTTTTATTTAATAATTTCTGTGTTTTGTTTTTAATGGGTTAAATAATTAGTGGCTATCATGTCTGTATAATTTTTTGACCAAGTATAGTGACTTTTGTATTTAAAATTATGAAAACTCCATTTTCATTTCAAATGGTGATGACATTCTGTAAACCTTGTGTCCAAAAAAAAGATCAGAAAAAAAGTTCATAAAATTAGTTCTATGTAATTGTTATCATGACATGAAATTCTAAATCAAAAACATTATTGTTTCATATTCAGTTTTGGATAAAATCATTGAGAAATTAAGCCAGAGGATACAGAATATATTCGATGTTCTGGCTGGTATCAGCTTTGATGTTCTGCCTTCACTTCAGTTTATCCTCCTGTTCTTTGCCTTTGGATCTGCAGGAGCAGGTAAATTTACTGAATTATTAAAAGTAATTCATGAGACATATTGCATACTATACTAATATACATTTTTGTTGTTTTTCCAAAAAAAAAAAAAAAAAAATTAAAGCGATGTTTTAAATTCAAGTCAATTAATAAACTATTAATGCATCACAGATGAAAAATATATGAATAACTAAATTTAAGTTGTTGCATGTCAAATGTTTTTATTGTATAGGAAAGTAACTTGAAGACTACAGTAAATTAACATGCAACATTACCAATAATGTCCATGTTTTTCTGATATTGTTAAAAGACACACTTTGCTTCTCCATAAAGTAAATCAATAAATGTCAAGAACAGTTTAAAGCTTTGGTTCATAATCTTAACAGACCTCTATCTTAACATTCAAAATCCTTAATGAAACATGAGTGATTATTACCTCCTAAAATAACACGAGAAGATGGTAAGAATTACATTTTAAATAAAAATAACATAAATACATTAACAACAATGGTCAGACTTTAAATTAACAAAAACTGATCAGTTTATTGAGTTAAAATGTTATCTACATGTTTTCTAACATTCAGAATTTATCTTCTTTAGGCTTTTAGAATGCACAAAATATTTTTTAATGTATTTTTAATAATGACAATAATAACATTTCTATTGTTTTAACCCAGTTTATGGTCTGAACAAGAGCTTTAGTTTGCTTATGCTGTATTGTCCCAGAGAGTTTCCTTCAGCAATTTATACTTAATTTCTTATAATTTCTGTCAGGACTTACATTGTAAATTCTGCTAAATTGTGCACAGAAAACAAAATCAAGATTGCATGCTGCAACTCTGTAAGACTATTGCTAACTTTGCTTTAAACAGGACAAAGCCACTTCAGTGATTATTAAAATAATATTGTCTGGAGTTTGGTTTATCATCAAACTGGTGTCTGTTTTATTCCTACCGCCGTCTGGCGATCTCTCATGTATATTTTCTGAACACAGTTTGTGAACCACTGACTTAAACTACTTCAAAGAAGTTTCAAACTTTAAAATATGGATGTAAGAATCTGTACCATGCTAATAATGTGCATGACAGTTATACTATGATGACATTTTGCAATGATGATAATACAATTTTTTTTGCTAATACAATAAATGAATCTTTCCATTTAAAAATTAAACTAGTTTCATCTCTATCAAAAGTGAATATGCCATTTGTAAATATTTCTGATCAATATTATAACTGATGTGTTTTATTCACGTTTAGTATACAATAAAATATAAATCATCAGATTGTATATGTGAAGATGTTGATGTGTGTGTCAGTAAATCTCAGTATCTGTGTTAATGTAATCTCTCTTTTGTGTTCAGGATTCTTCATTCTTGCTGTGTTACCAGTTTTTCTCAAATTGACAAATTACAACTGGGATGTAGTATGTGGAAAACAGATGGGCTGTAAGTGTCTAAATTATAATCTGATCCCTGAAATAAATATATATATATAAAAAACATGACATCATAATGTGATCTATAGTTCACAATGCTCATGTCTCTATTATGAATGTATTTTTTAATGATTTTGGATGCAAGGTTAAGTGTAGAAATATTTATAGTTCTCCAGTGATTTCACATGATAATCTGAATTTAGTTTTATGTCATTACAATATTATGCTTGATACTCTGTGTATCTGTTTGAGTTTGCAGAGTTTTTTATTCAGCCAGTTTTAAATCCAGATATGTTTATTAATAATACATATGTTTTTCAGGTTTACCCTCAGTCAGGAGATCAGTGTGGTTAATCCTCATGTTATTAATCAATGCTTTAATGGTTTATTTCTACATCATAGCACTGGAGAATGAAAAAGGTATGATAAAATAATATTAAACTAGAACTGGAAGATTTTCATAGTAGATCTTGCAAGCTCTTACAGTGTGTTTGTACAGAGACTGTAAATACTGTTTCAGTGATGTTAAATCTTGTGTGTTTGTTGATGTTCAGATCGTGTTGGATGGGCCTGTATGATTGCGTTTCTGCAGTTACTCTGGGCAGTGATGGACTTCACACGCTCATTTAAATGGAGTACAGTATTAATCATCTGCTCTGATCATCTTTTCATGATCTACTATCCTCTCCTCATTTTTCATCATCTTTTTGTTTTCCTCTTTTGAAAAGAGTTTAAGTCTCTGGCTCAGTTATTCAGCAAAGCTTTCTCTCGTCTCTCCTTGAAGTCAATATTGAAACTAACTATGATATTTTATTAAATCCTGCTCCACTCACATGATTATGGTTTTTAGCTAAATAATTTTAATCATATAATTTTAACCTATTTATGGGCTGTTTTATCATCATCTCCATTTATGTACATGATGATATTAATCAGTATTTTCTGATCTCACAGTTCTTCCTCGTGTTGTTCCTGTGTATGTGTTTGGATCAGTTGCTGTTGTGTTACTGAACTCTGTTACTCTGATGACTGAACTCATACTGAAAACAGGTCTGATCACTACCGAGTCTGATCAAAGTGTATATTTATAAGTCTTCAGTAAATATTAAATATTAATATTAAAACCTAATTTCATCATTATCTATTCATATCACACCACAAGGCAGAATCATCTTCATATCAAATTTATTCTGATAGAAATATTCTAAATTCCACTTATATATTATTATACATCAATGATACTACAAATAATCAATTGTTCATGATGATGTTAATATTTGAATACGCGTATCTTTTCTAAGTGAAATACTGTTGTTCATTTTCCTCTTCAGTTTATGGTGAAGGTGCAATCGGGGATCTGAGAATCGTCGTCTTTTCCTCTGAATACATCTTCACTTTATCGCTGATGATTCTGCTGGTTTTTGAACCCTGTGAGTACAAACTGAACTTTACTGAAAACAGTCAGAACTACATTCACTTCAGGTGTTTTTGTGCCTCTCGATTTTCATTTAAAAATAGGACACATATTTGACCAGTTCTTCTTCGGTTGTATGAACTTCAGTGTTATATAGTGGATTTGATTTTGAAAATCCACGTATGGGAGGATTCGGTTCAGAAGCTGCTTGTCTGAAAGAGTATTGAACGGGCCAATGCAGCAATGAATTGGCAGCTTAAGCTTGCGCAGGTGTGCTTCATTGCCAATTATCCCAGCATATAAGCACACCTGGAGCGAGCAAACGCCATCCTTTTCGCTTCAGAGACTTTCTGATCGAGTCGATGTGGGTTCCTCTTGCTGATTCAGCGACTTCAGAGTGAACGAGTGTCTCCCGGTCCAGAGTGGGTTTTCGCGGCGGCAGACGCTTGAGCTGGGTTTCTCCCTTGCCTGAGGTTCTTTGGGTCCGGTCCTCCAGAGCGGTGCGTATTGTTGCAACTTTTCCTAAAAGAGCAACACAGTCGTGCAGCACGTCCTTTTCAGGATGGCGCTCCGACTGTGCGTTACTGGTTGCGGGGGTTTCCTGGCTCCAGATGATGAACACAATCACTGCATTGCATGTATGGGGGTCCAGCATGTTAATGTGGTGCTCGCGGGCGATTCATGTCGTCATTGCGATGCCATGACCGTTGCACAGCTAAGATCGCAGCTAGCTTTCGTAAGAGAGCGAGCCACCTCAGTTGCCTCTTGCTCTGCAGCGGGCACTCGGGCAGATCTGAGGGTTCCAGCGGGAGATAATCCGGCGCCCAAGGGCTCGCGGACCTCTCGCTCCTCGCGGCGCTCCATCCAAGCTTCGGGCAGTGGGAGTGATCTGTCTAATCAGATGGTAGCCCTCACGCTCGCTGACACAGAAGATCAGATGTCCTCAGCGGCATCGGAGGGTGGGCTTTCACTGTCCGACGAAGATCCTGACCCGCTTGCCCCCTCCAGGCAGGTGAGCGCCGTCAAAACGAATCCTGAAGCGAACATGTTAGCCGTGCTTTCCCGGGCTGCTTCGGCCGTGGGGTTGGAGCTGGTTCATCCCCCAGCCCCGCGGCCGGACCGACTAGATGGGTGCTATGTGGAGGACCAGAAGGCGAAGCCTTCGAAGCCTCTCGTCCCTTTCTTCCCGGAAGTGTACAGTAGGCTCACGCAGTCTTGGAGTGCACCTTTCTCTGCCCTTGCTGCATGTCCCTCCACCCTCACCGCCCTTGATGGCAGAGCTGCCAGGGGGTATGAGGCGATCCCATCAGTGGAGCGCGCTATCGCGGCCAATCTTTGTCTGCATGGCACCCTTACGTGGCAGGGTTGGCCCCGTCTCCCGTCCAAAGCCTGTAGGTTGTCTGCCTCCCTCGGAACCAGAGCTTACAAGGCTGCGGGCCAGGCGGCTTGTGCTTTGCACGCGATGGCCACCTACCAGCGCTACCAAGCGCAGGCACTGGCCGAGCTGCACGAGGGCGGGTCTAACCCAGGCTTACTACATGACCGCGACTGACTATGCTCTTCGGACTACTAAGTCTGCCGCGTGTGCACTGGGGAGGACGATGTCCACACTTGTGGTTCAGGAACACCACCTCTGGCTAAACCTGGCCGATATGCGCAATGTTGACAAAGTTCGCTTTCTTGACTCGCCCATATCCCAGGCTGGCCTGTCCGGCGACACCGTCGGTGAATTCACCCAGGAATTCAAGACGGTGAAAGAGCAGTCGGATGCGATGGGCAATGTCATCTATCGGCGCGGCCGTAAGCCCGCTCCGCCCGCCGAGCCATCCACCTCCCCTGCTCCTCACCGAGGGTGCCCGCCAACGAGTGCTGCCCCGCCTGCGCCTCCGGCCAAGCGGGCGCAGCGTACACCTCGAAAGCAGGCAGCCCCCCCTGCCCAGAACGCCGTTAAGTCCGGTAAACGGACCGTGAAGCGTCCCTGAGACAGGCCATCCGGAGAGGAGGAAACTTTTCCCCGCTGGAGGGCAGGGCCCTGATTCCAATGGTACTTTTCAGTGCCACCAAAACATCAATGAAAGAGCACTTTTCCCCTTCCCCGGATGGGACAGCACGAACTCTGCCAGTCCGGGACGCGCTGCCTTCCGGCTCGCAGATTCTACGTGCTTCGCCAGTGGCTCACGAGCACTGGGGGGACGGTCTCCCTTTCCTCAGCCCTCCAGCCCCCTCTCCGGAGTCAGGGTGCGGAGCCAGAGCAAATCGCTCTCCTCCAGCTCTTCCGCGGGACCCTCGTGCTTCCCAGATCAGCGCACCCATTCGCGCTGCCCCACCGCTGGTACGTCAGCAATTGTAGCGATGACTCCATTAGCGAGGGCTCTGCCTGCCTGGTTAGCGCGGGCCAGCCCCTCGTGGTGGCTCATACGCACAATCAGACTCGGTTATGCGATTCAGTTTGCGAAACGGCCTCCCAAGTTCATGGGCGTGTATTTCACCAGGGTCAACGCCCTGTCCGCCCCTGTCTTGCGAGAGGAGATTGCTGCCCTCCTGGCGAAGGGTGCAATCGAGCCAGTTCCTCCAGCCGAGATGGAGAGTGGGTTTTACAGCCCATACTTCATCGTACCCAAAAAGAGTGGTGGGTCACGACCAATCCTAGATCTGCGCGTTTTGAACCGCTGTCTGCACAAGCTACCGTTCAGAATGCTCACACAGAGGCGCATCCTTTAATGCGTTCGTCCTCGGGATTGGTTTGCAGCCATAGACCTGAAGGACGCGTATTTCCATGTCTCCATTCTTCCACGCCACCGCCAATTTCTGTGGTTTGCGTTCGAGGGTCGAGCGTTCGAGGGCAATACAAGGTCCCCCCCTTCGGGCTCTCCTTCTCTCCGCGGGTCTTCACCAAACTCGCGGAAGGTGCCTTAGCGCCCCTTTGGCTCGCGGGCATCCGCATACTCTATTATCTCTACGACTGCTGATTTTAGCCCACTGGCGGTAGCAATTGATTATGCACAGGGACAAGGTGCTTTAGCATCTCCGCCTACTGGGGCTTCAGGTCAACCGAGAAAAGAGCAAACTCGCCCCCGTGCAGAGGATCTCTTTTCTCGGGATGGAGCTGGACTCGGTCACCATGGTAGCGCACCACTCCGAGGAACGCGCTCGCCTGTTGCTGGGCTGTCTGAGAGAGCTCGACAGCAAACTAGTGGTCCCACTGAAGTTCTTTCAGAGGCTCCTGGGACATATGGCATCCGCAGCTGCCGTCACGCCGCTCGGATTGCTCCATATAAGACCACTCCAGCACTGGCTTCACGATCGTGTCCCAAGACACGCATGGCACGCGGGCACACACCGAGTCTCTGTTACTGCGCTACCGAGTCTCTGTTACTGTGCTGTGTTGCCACGCCCTCAGCCCTTGGAATGACCCCTTGTTCCTACAGGCCAGTGTGCTTCTAGGACAGGCGTCCAGCCATGTTGTTGTTTCAACAGATGCTTCCAACACGGGTTGGGGGGCCGTGTGTTGCGGGCATGCAGCTGTGGGCCTGTGGAAGGGTGCCCAGTTGCATTGGCATATCAATCGCCTAGAGCTGTTGGCACTGTTCCTTGCTCTCCACCGCTTTTTACCGGTGCTGGAGCAGCAACACGTGCTGGTCAGAACGGACAGTACGGCGGCGGCGGCGTATATCAACCGCATGGGGGGTATGCGCTCTCGCCGCATGTCTCAGCTTGCCCGCCGTCTGCTCCTCTGGAGTCACCCGCGGCTGAAGTCGCTGCGCGCCATTCACGTTCCAAGCACACTCAACCGTGCAGCCGATGCGCTCTCACGGCAGCTGGAGAATGGAGACTCCACCCCGAGTCTGTTCAGCTGATATGGGCGCGATTCGGGGAGGCCCAGATTGATTTGTTTGCTTACCCCGAGAACGCTCATTGCCAGTTGTTTTTTTCCCTGACCGAGGGCTCTCTCGGCATAGATGCACTGGCCCACAGCTGACCTCGGGGCATGCGCAAGTATGCGTTTTCCCCAGTGAGCCTGCTCGCGCAGTTTCTGTGCAAGGTCAGGGAGGACAAGGAGCAGGTTCTGCTAGTTGCGCCCCTCTGGCCCAACCGGACCTGGATATCAGAGCTCTCCCTCCTCGCAACGGCCCTCCTCTGGCAGATCCCTTTGAGAGAGGACCTACTCTCTCAGGGACAGGGCACCATCTGGCAACCTTGCCCCGATCTTTGGAACCTCTACGTGTGGTCCTTAGATGCGAGGAAGACTTAGGTAACCTACCGAGTGCGATGGTTAATACCATCACTCAGGCTAGAGCCCCCTCCACGAGGCACGCCTACGCCCTGAAGTGGAGTCTATTCACTGAATGGTGCGTCTCTCGCAGAGAAGACCCCCAAAATTGCCAGATTAGTATTGTGCTCTCTTTCCTCCAAGAGAAGCTGGACAGCAGGCTGTCGTCCTCCACTCTCAAGGTTTACGTGGCCGCCATCTCCGCTTATCATCACGCGGTAGCTGGCGGCACCGTGGGAAAGCACAACCTCATCATCCGGTTCCTCAGGGGTGCTAGCAAATTAATCCATCCCGCCCCCCTCTCATGCCCTCTTGGGATCGCGCCCTCGTTCTCACGAGTTTACACGCAGATCCCTTTGAGCCACTCGATTCAGTATCTCTAAGTTTTCTGTCCCTGAAGACAGCTCTGCTGGTTGCGTTGGCCTCCATCAAGAGGGTCGGGGACCTGGAGGCATTTTCGGTCAGTGACGCGTGCCTGGAAATTCGGGCCGGACTACTCTCACGTTATCCTGAGACCCTGCCCGGGTTATGTGCCCAAAGTTCCTACCACCCCCTTTAGAGATCAGGTAGTGAACCTGCAAGCGCTGCCCCCGGAGGAGGCAGACCCAGCCCTTTCCTTACTTTGTCCAGTTCACGCCCTGCGCATTTATGTGGACCGTACTCAGAATTTTAGATCATCTGAGAAGCTCTTTGTCTGTTATGGCGGTCGGCAGCAGGGAAGTGCCGTATCAAAACAAAGATTATCCCGCTGGATTGTGGATGCCATTTTACTCGCTTATTCGAGCAGAGGTGAGCCGTGTCCCCCTGGAGTGCATGCACACTCCACTCGGAGCATTGCATCCTTTTTGGCGCGTGCACGCTGCGCATCTCTAAAAGACATTTGTAGAGCTGCGGGCTGGGCGACACCCAACACATTTGCAAGGTTTTACAATCTGCGAGTGGAGCCGGTTTCCTCAAGGGTATTAGGTAACCCTTTGGTGATTGAGGAAACAACTCGGTAGGGTGTTGAAACACGCTTGCTGCGCCATTCTCCCAAACACGGAGGTACGTGCACCTTTTTATCTGTCAGTAAAGTCCCCAGTCTGCCCGCGTTTTGGGTATAGGTGCCTGCTATGCGTGATCCCCACTAGGCGATCCCATATGCTTATTCTGCCACGGTTAAGTCCCCCCCCCCGGGTGGACCTGTGTCTTCCCTCTTCGCTAACCACTTGTTTTTCTATGCGTACTCCCCCTTCTTAGGGCTAGTCCATATGTAAATTCTGACATCTTATCTCCCCCCCTTGGGTAGCGGATGGCCTCCGCAGCGTCCTCCCTATCGGGATTGCACGCTTCCCAACGTACTGTCGTATTTCCTAGAATTATCTAGACGCTCACGACTTCACAAAAAATATATCTAATCCATAAAACTTCTGTTGAAGTAGGATAAATTAGGGCCAGGGACACGTTGGAGGACCACGCCTCCCATGATATGGGTGCGTCACGCTTGCTTGACTATCCCCTCATCAGGGGTGTTGGTAAGGTGCAGTCATTATGGCGCTTTCCGTAGTTCTCCCATAAGTGGATTTTCAAAATCAAATCCACTGTATGGCACTGAAGTTCCCCAACCGAAGGGGAACGTTCGAGGTTACAGAAGTAACCCTTCGTTCCTTGAGGAGGGAAACGGAAGTGCTATACTCTGTCGCCATAATGACTGTCCCTTAGCTGTTTGAAAGTCTCTTCAGCTTAAACGGATGGCGTTTGCTCGCTCCAGGTGTGCTTATATGCTGGGATAATTGGCAGTGGAGCACTCTTTCAATGTACTGTTTCAGACAAGCGGCTTCTAAACCGAATCCTCCCATACATGGATTTTCAAAATCAAATCCACTGTATAGCACTTCTGTTCCCCTCCTCGGGGAACGAAGGGTTACTTCTGTAACCTCGAACGTTCTACAAGTTCTTTAAAGTCATGATGACTCCCTAAAGAGACTTCAGTTGTTTTATAAATGATTATTAATCATTACCCATAATGATGAATGATCAATCATTCTGAACAACAACAAAAAGCAAAAAACACTGACCGACTGGTCTTAAAACAGAAGAAAACTAGGAAAGTATTTTTTCCCAAATAATTTACTGTGTAGACAACTTTAAACTACTAAATAAAGTTTATTAGTACATTATATGTGCTGCACTGTGGCGCAGTGGGTAGCACGTTCGCTTCACAGCAAGAAGGTTGCTGGTTCGAGCCTCGGCTGGGTCAGTTGGCGTTTCTGTGTGGAGTTTGCATGTTCTCCCTGCGTTTGTGTGGGTTTCCTCCGGGTGCTCCAGTTTCCCCCACAGTCCAAAAACATGTGGTACAGGTGAACTGGGTAAGCTGAATTGGTTTGTGTATGGATGTTTCCCAGTGATGGGTTGCAATTGGAAGGGCATCCACTGCATGAAACATATGCTGGTTTGTTATAAGTTTGCTGTTCATTCTGCTGTAGCAACCCCTGATTAATAAAAGGACTAAGCCAAAAAGAAAATTAATGAATCAATAAGTACATTATATTTCCCACTTTCTTACAAATAAATAATTTACAAAAATACATAAAGCAAACAAATCACTAGTAACATTGGTGATTTAAAGAAATTATATAGCCAACGAAAGATCAAAATGAGCGGTAGAAAAAAAAACATATACTGTATAATACCGTATATAAATGTGGATTTAAGAACAGGTAGGCCAGCAAGAAATTGTGCAATTTCTGACAATTTCACTACTTCATGTGGGATTTTTATTCAAGAAAAACATTTTAGCCTTTTGTATCTCTTTTTTATAATCACATTTGATACTGCTTAGAAGAGATGTTCATTATCACTGTTGCAGGGGGCAATTTGTCATTTTTGCAGGACAGGTATGTGATCAACTTGAGCAGGGCTGGAAAACAGGACAGAAGCCTGTTCCAAAACTGCAAAGGGCTGTCATTACACTAAATGAATGGTCATTTTGACATACATTCAGCTACTAAGATCAATACAAAAAAAGCTACCTTATTGTGATAATTTATTTTCCTGCAATAAATATTGTGATGAATACAGTTTAACAGGATGACTCTAACAGTATTCGGGTACAGAAATTAAATTATCACAATGCAAAAACATGATTTCTTCCTGTGTTTTGTCTCGTTTCTTGTCCAAATCTCAAAAATTCTTAGATCAAGTAAAAATATTGTTTAGTTTTCCCCACCTAAAGAAATAAGTGAAAATTAACAGTTTTTCCTTAAAACAAGCTAAATTATGTGCCACTGGCGTAAATTAAATAATGTTGTTTTTGCTGTGAAATGTAGATATTTGGACTTGAAAAAGTAAGAAAAACATTTTTTTTTTTGTATGAATCAGATAAATTCCATATAAATACAGTGATGACATACAATTCTGTAGCTCCTGCTCAACTATAATTCAGACTCAACATTGCAGATCTTTGCAGTGTGACTATTGCGGATGTGCACATTGCGATGTCGATGCTGAAACAATATATTATACAGCCCTACTATTGACCATATTTTTTACCATCTTGTTTTAAAGCTGAATTACTTTGTTTACTACTTTGATTATTACTTAAGCTTTGATTGCTACTTAATTTAACAGATGTCAAAGAAAAAGTTTTTTTCTGTTTCTCTAGAAATATTACTAAATAGTAAAGCTAACTATGTGAAGTTTATTATACAATCTTACTTGTTTTATTTTGGAAAATATAATCCTGAAATCCCTTTTTGTCTCTCATCTCACAGGGATCAAAACGTGGCTGCAGTCATGTCAGGTTAGTATCATATTTAATGTGATTGTAATTAATTAATGTCTTAGTTCATGTTATGTTCTGCAGTTTTGATGTATTAGTGTGGATGCTGAATCACATGGCTCTTTTTACTTGAATTCTTGTTTCGCTTATGATGAACTATTATCTCAAACCAAAATCTTTAATAACACAGGGTGCTTTAAAGTTATCATGCTTTATGACTAAAGTATTAATTTCTCATGCTTTAAATTTCTTTTTTGTGTATTTTTACATTTTTAAAGTAAACCGTAAATGTATAATACTGTAGTTTGAGCATCTCTATGTGAACCAGCATAGATGCGTCAATAGCTGCATTCATGTCATAATGTACAGTAAATGTTAAGCTTGAGTTATAGCACAGAGTTCACTTTTCAATAGCTGTCCAACAACAGACTGTTGTGTAAATATGCAGTCTTCTCTTCTGGTATTTGGGACATTTGTTATGTCTCTTTAGTTTAACACACATGATTCAGATAATGAGGAAAGAAGTGCACTTCACTGTGTTTGTCAGATATGAGAGACAAATAAAATGTGTAGTGCGAGTGCGAGTCCCCAAATAGGACCAGGACTGAAAACCACTGCTGTAAATGTAACTGTGTTTTTGTGAACGCAGAAGGCAGTGAGATCTTGTCAAACTCCAGCTGCTGGATCACAGAATCAGGACATTCAGGTTAGTAACAAAATTATTGATTTGTTTATCTGAAATATTATGAAAACCTACTCATGATGTTAGTCAAAAGCAGAGGTTTCTCAAGGTTTCTCAGTTCTGGTTTTGGAGAAACTAATGAGTAAATCTAGACAGAGAATGAGAGAGACTGTTTTTCCGAGTGTAGTTATGGCACATACAGTTGAAACCAGAAGTTTACACACTGTAAAAAAAAAGGCACATAACTTTTTTTTTTTAAAAGTCAGATGTTAATGTGACTAAACTTTTTCTCTTTTAGGTAAATTAGGATTATTAAATTTGTTTCTCTTCTGCTTAATAGCACAATAATGAGAGAGAGATTTTTTTTTTTTTTTTTTGAGAAATTGTTATAACTTTTATTAAAAGTCAAGTTTACAATAAGATTATTCTGCCTTTGAAAAAGCTCAGATTATAGTGTCAAGGTTTTGGAAGTTTCTGATTGGCTAATTGACAACATTTGAGTTATTTGGAATAGAATAGTATTGAATATAGAATAGTATTGAAGGAAAAACCTCAAAAACACTGCTTCCTTGTGTGACAACATGGGAAAATCAACAAGCCAGAGTCAACAAAAAAAAGCCTGATTAATTTTCTAAATTACACTGGGGAAAAGATTAATTTTGAAGACATGTCCTGTGGTCTAATGGAACTTAGATTGAACTGCACTAGACCTGGTGACTAATTTTGGTCTCTCTTGTTCCTTTCATTTAGCCTATTTATTCACATTTATTATTGCTTTGCATTACTGCCTTTACTGATTTTATTAATGATGGAAATGCAACGATAACGCTTATTAATGCAGATGGATCATGGCTTAAGTGCCAAATGAGTGCTTTAAATCATTTGTTATTCTCCTTATTTATTTCCGTTTTATTTCAAGCAAACACATAACGTTTCCCAGGACGTTCTCGGAACGTTCCCCAAAGGTTTCCAGAACGTCCTGGGAACGTCCCCACAACAAACACCCTAACGTTCCCTGTTAGTTAGCCGGGAAAGTTTTTTTGACGTCAACACAATGTTCCCTGCGGGTTCTCAGAACGTTTCCAGGACGTCCCCTGCGGGTTTGCAGAATGTTCCCTGCAGGTTCGCGGAACATTCCCGGGACGTCCTCTGCGGGTTTGCAGAATGTTCCCTAGATGTTCCCTGCCGGTTTGCAGAACGTTCCCGGGACGTTAGCACAACGTCCCCAGAAAGTTCCCTTAAACACAAATAATCAGACCAAAGAAATAACTTTTTCCTTGTTTATTGTTCAGAAAACGCAAATATGAACCATAAATGATACATTATATAAATAGTTTATATCTACATGAAATAGAAAGATTTTAAACAACAAAATACAAAACTGAATTGCAAATCTATAAATTACATGAACAATATGATGCACAACTGGACAATTCTTAGAATAATTTGCAGAACTATATGACATTTTAAACAACAAAAATACTCAATGTATTTGCAAATGTTGTATGATTCATAACTGGTAAATTATTAAAATAGTAGCACCTGGAAAACTTTATATTTATACAAAAAATACATATTTTAAACAACATTGATTTTCAAATGTTTAAAATGTAATAAATAACAATATGATCCATATCTGGTAAATTATTATAATTATCAGCATTTACAGATAAATAAATATTTTAAACAAAATAAATGCATGCATGTTTCAAGTGATAAATATTCATAAAAGTATGATCCATCACTAGTTAATTACATTTAAAAATATGCATTTGCAGAACAATACATTTATAAATAAGACATTTTAAACAACAAATATTTCAAATATAGTGAATTACACTAATAATAGATCCCATGACTGGTCAATTATTCAAATAATTTGCGGAATTTTGCAGAAAAAAAATACATATAAATAAGACATTTTAAGCAACAAAATTGATTAGCAAATATTTTAAATGTAATACTATAAACTTTAATGTAATAAAAGAGTTGGAGAAACCTTCTAAAAACATAAGAACAATTGTGGAAAACAAGTCACCACTTGATGTCATGAAATGTTTATTAAATCTAATATTGGAAATTTATCTGCATTGTCCGTTTACAATGTTTAAAATTGTGTGGGACTTACTTTAAACCCACTAAAAATAGCTTCCTCAGTCAACTGTTCCAAGTAGTTAGAAAACTTTTGGCTTTGGTTTAATGTATGTCAATTATTATTAGGCAATAAAAAATATATAGAGAGAGAAGATGTTACAAATATAAAGATGTTACAAAGCTCAGTGTTACAAAGCATTACACAAATCTGTCCAGTAGAGGTCGCTAACGGACTGCTAATCACATATGCCTTTCAAAGATGTGCATGTGAGAGAACAATACAGTCTGAGTGAAGCAACTGGCATTGAAGTTGAATGTTGCTAACTATCGATGTTTGGTGGATTTGTGCGTGTTATGAACAAATCACATTTTTATTTACCAATGTGGAATAAAGCAACCGAAGTTCACTAAACCAGACTCCTGCATTCTAACCGATGAACCACAGTGATCACCACCTTTAAACTGGCAACTTAGTTGAATGCTTCTCAACTCTCAGATTTCTTGCTAATTTTTCCATTTTACGCTGTAGGCACCAAAATGTCATTCTGAAGGAACTGTCTTCATGTTTTGTGCACAGAAGCTCCAAGGATTGCTTCCCCAGGTAGTTCATCTGTAAAACAAATGTCAGTAAAAAACAACAATTATTCATTTTGACAGCAGCTGGAAGAACGGTCTTCTTGTTTGCATTAAAGAGTCAAACAATCACATACTTAAATTAAATGACAAAGAGAGAGTGTAGAAGTGCACTTAAGTTCTTAAGTGCACAATCAACATACTGTGTTCAGCATATACAAGTACACCAATCACAAATCTATCATTATATTTGTGCATACACATTAGATTAGTCAGTACTGAAGCCAAATCAGGGGCTTATCGAACAAAATAACTTATGATAATGGTACAAAATTAGTACACCCAAATTTATGTTATAGAAAAATATTAAATAAAACATTTAAAAAGAGCAAAATTCAAGAGAAACGAAACATTCTACAATTTTGTAGTTTGTATTTTTTTCACATATGTTGCTTGAATTTAATTCTATTATCTTTCTATTTCTAAAGATGTGACTAAAATATTATTTAAATGAATATATCTGTTTAATAAATCTGTTTTGTTTAAATGCACCAAAATACATTACTCATATTCACTGAGAAATGGATAGAAATTCATTTTCAGAATGGGCTGTACTCAATTATGATGAGCACTGTAGGTAATGTTTATCACTAACTCTTGTTTCCACTCATCACCATTTATGTTCTTGTGAAATCCCTTTATTGTATTAATAATTATGTCTGAAAACAAAACACAATGTACAAGTAATATAATTTAATTTTTATTAGCAATTTTACCGGTACTACTGAATCATGAAACTGCATTGTGTTTTGCCTAATGGATCACAGATGTGAAAATTCAACAGGTTATTTGAAACACTGAGGCTGTGCAATGTTGTCTTTTTTTTTCTTTTTCTATTTTCTTGTGATGTCAGATAAATAATTTTATTGTTATCTAGATATCCCCAAAAATTTAACAATGTAAAATGTAAATGTAAGTCTAATATAAACTAGATTATTAAAGTTCGTCGAGACAAACTTTGAGGCTGGCTTGTGAAAGCATGTTGGTATTAGTTTATTAGTTTAAACCAGGGGTTTTAAACCAGTTTAAAACTAGGTCATTTTAGCTCCAACCCTAATCAAACACACCTGAACAAGCTAATCAAGGTTTTACAAGGTAAACTTGAAACAACCAGGCAGTATGTTGAGGCAAGTTGGAGCTAAACTCTGCAGGGACACTGGCCCTCCAGGACCGAGATTGGTGACCCCTGGTTTAAACAGTTTTTAAAAGATAATAGATAGATAGATAAATAAATAGATAGATAGATAGATAGATAGATAGATAGATAGATAGATAGATAGATAGATAGATAGATAGATAGATAGATAGATAGATAGATAGATAGATAGATAGATAGATAGATAGATAGATAGATAGATAGATAGATAGATAAAGCGGTGTTCTATAGATTTTCCTTAATGTTCAGTAAGCATTTCTAGCATGTTGAAATACTAAGCTAATCATTATTAGCATGTTGCTAGTCATTGCTAGCATGTGAACCATACAGGATGTATGGTGTGCTAGCATGAGTCAAACAAGCCAACCCCCGCTTTTCTACAATGTTCTGATGCTGAGATACAGCTGCTGTTAAATCGTTGCTAGGTTTGTTTGTTTTGTTGCTATGGAGATGATTGACAGCTTGAACTGATGATGTATCAAAGCTTCTTGCCAGTATAAACAGTAAAAAACAACCCCATGTCTGCAGCATGACGATATCAATCTGGGCCTCTATAATGGCAGTCTATGGGACAGTTGCTAGGGTGCGGTATGTTAGGGAGTGGCTAGAAAGTTTAAAGGCCATCAGTGATTGACTGCTGGCTAGACTAGGAGTTAAATGAGCTCAGTCATTAGTCTGTAGGACAGTCTGATGCAGAGTTATGAGCTCACAAAGTTTGATCCAATGTAAAGTCAATGACAATCTTTTGCAGTGGAAGTCTATGGGACAGTTTCTAGGGTCCCAAAAGTGGTTGCTAGGGCGTGGCCAGAAAGTTAAATGCTCATCAGTTATTGGCAGTTAGGTAGTCTGAGTTAAATGAGCCTAGTTAGAAGTCTGTGTGACATTCTGATGCGAAGTTATGAGGTCACAAAGTTTGGTCCAATGTTAAGTCAATGGGATTTTTCCGAAGGTCCCGGGACGTTTCCCCGAAAACCAAAAGTCGGCGGAAAAGATATAGCAACCCGAGTCAGACCAGTTTGGAGGTCTGGTGTAAGTTTGGTGGTCAAAACTCGAAAGCTCTAGGAGGAAATGCGTTTTGTTTTTTAGTCTCAGAAGAAAAATAGGATAACAGTAGTCTGGCTTGCTACACAAGCCAGCCTAA